TCTATCTATCTATCTATCTATCTATCTATCTATCTATCTATCTATCTACCTGGTCTTTGGCATAGAACCTTAGCATGTAGCCTTTCTAGCCTGGAATTTCCTATATATAACAGATGAACCTTGAACTTGCCAGAAAGCATCTTGCCTTTGTCCACTCAGTGTGGAGACTTTAAGTGAACACTAGTACACACAAAAAAAAGCTATTCTTTTTTAAAAATGCTACATATTTTAAATACATAGAATACATTTAATAAAACAATAATAAGCATTGTATAATCAAAACTACAATACAGAGGTGAACAGTAAGAAGGTCTAGACAAAGTGTAAATATTAAACACTGTGTATCAGGAAACTGAATTATTAACGTGCATAGGCTTCTTAAATTTATCTACAAGTTTTGCATGTAGAAAATAATAAGGAACTTACTAAGCCCTTAGCATAGCATAGTAGTTTAGCTGTAACCAGGCTGTAAGACCTACATATGTCTGTATTATTCCATATTATTATAACATGCATGATCGATAACATAGTACTCCATATATTATAAGATCAACTGTATCTCTGCAAGCTGGCTATAATCTACAATTAGCTAATACTCATATATACAACTACTTGTCTGGGTTTCAGTGAAATGTGTATTCTGCTATTTGTGTGTAAAATATTGTAGTTACTTTGGAAAATAATTCAAGCGTTCCCCCAAATACAAAAGAAAAGAGTTACAACTCAGTAATTTGATATCTGTGTATATATGTAGGAGAAAGAAATCACATCTCTACATAAAACTTGCACACAAATACTCATGAAACCAGCTTTCATGAAAGACATAAAGCCATTGTTATATTGTGTTGTAATCCACTCATGCATTAACAGAAGAGTGGATAAATGAGAATGTGTATATACATCTAAGTCAATACTCTCCTGTAATAGCAAAGAAGAAAATGCTGTGATGTACTAAAGCCCACATGAATTTTAAGATACGACTCATAACCAAACCTTCAGCAGAAGGAGAGTTAGTATGACGTGGAAATGAGAGTTAGTATGACAAGGACCAAATATATCTGGGCACAGGGTTTTTTTCTGAAACTGTTTCTCCAACCAAGGACCGTGTATGGATATAACCTAGAGCCTTTGCTCGGACGAAGCTCGTGGTAGCTCAATAACCAATTGGTTTCCCATAGTAAGGGGAACAGGGACTATTTCTGACAGGAACTCAATGGCAGGCTCTTTGACCTCCCCACTCTCCAAAGGAGGAGCAGTCCTTCCAGGCCACAGAGGAAGACTTTGCAGCCAGTCCTGAAGATACCTGATAGAACAGGGCCAGAGGAAAGGGAAGAGGTCCTCCCCAATCAGTGGACTTGGAAAGAGGCAGGGAGGAGCTGAGGGAGGGAGGGTGGGATTAAGAGGGAATGGGGGAGTGGGATACAGCTGGGATACAGAGTTAATAAAATGTAACTAATGATAATAATAATAATAATAATAATAATAATAATAATAATAATAATAAAAATGCCCGAGGATAAATTAAAAAAGATACGATGGTAAGTGAACAACCCTAATTGCAGCCTTTTAAGATAATTTGAAGTTGCTGCCTTCGTTTTCTTCCAGTATTCATTAATTTTGGAAACATATTTCTTTCAAAAGATAGCACTTCATAATCTCTCATATATGAAATGCACAGAACAGAGATATCTGTAAAATAAACAGACGGTATCTCAGTAGCTTTCCAGGACAAGGGAAAGTTGAAGAGTGTATTTTCCTAATGTCTGCTTCTGCACTCTCTCACTTCAGCTAGGCAGACTTGAATGTTAAAAGTGCAGAAGCAGCTTCAAGGAGATGCTCTGGACTTTGTGCTTGCTTTCTCTAGTTCCAGGATATCCTTCCCTTGATGCTCTCCATGCCCTTGTCTTCTTCCTATTACTCTGTCTTCAAAGTTTCCAGCCCTTTTAGAAACACTTCTTCTTCTTTTTTTTTTTTTCCAATAATCTCCCTCACCTGCTTACTATTCCCCATGTGACCCACATGGATAAGAACTTGTCTACTTTATTAACTAAATTATCCAAATGATACAAACAGTGTTTGGTGCAAAATAGTCTGACTGGTGGAAGAAATAAAAGAATTAAAAGAGGTGACTCACAATATACTATGGTTTCACTCAATATTTGGGTTATGTTGTGTATTGTTTTTTACATTTTTTTTTTCTCTTTTAGAATAACGACATTCTAGAGATGCATGAAGATACTTTCTGTAATGTTAAAAATTTAACTTATGTTCGTAAGGCACTAGAGGACATTCGACTGGATGGAAACCCTATCAACCTCAGCAAAACTCCTCAAGCATACATGTGCCTACCTCGTCTGCCCATTGGGA